ATAAGCTGGTCAATCAATCCATATCATTGTCAACTCCATTTTTTAGTATCCGCAATTGTGCAAAATTTATCAATCTCAATAATGGGACAGTCCTAAATTTGTCAACTTGATTTCAAATAGAAATAAATCAACTCTACTATGCAGTGAGAATAATTCTTTGTGCCAATTCTTGATCTTTATTTAGAATATCTTAACCGCCAGAGAGATCAATCCCCAACGTAAAACTTAGGTGTACCCCACCACTGTAGGGTATCAGGGCTTTAGCCCTGTTTGTTACAGATATTACAGTTAAAGGCAGGTACAAATTGAGAGATATTAATCAGCCACACTTGGAGTCAAGTGTAAGGGAAGTTATCCTTGAGGTTTTAGCCCTGTGTTTGTTGCAAATATTAAAGTTAAAGGCAGGTAATCAGCCACACTTGGAGTCAAGTGTAAGGGAGGCTGTACTTCAGAATTAAAATTTTCTCAGGGAAAGTGCTATAGTCAAAGCATGGAAAATCCCGGCAGTAAGTACAAATCTTCTGGGAATCCAAGGATCAGCAATGACAGTACCAAGTACCTTAGTACACTACTTTTAAAAACAACCCATGTCAGGCAGAAACAAAAATAATCCCATTCGGTGCCATCAAAAACAGCGAGAGGTGTACATGTACATTGTTAAACCTTTGGACATGAGTTGCAGGGATTTGAGATGACGTATGGTCTCGCCATGATCAAACATGTTCACTGGATGCCCAAGAGTCAACCCTTTACTTTGTGATCCTTTTGGCAAGATACTGGTATCTCAAAATCAAGAGGTATTGATAATAATATCCATGTTCCCATTTTCTAGGACCATTTAGGACTAAATTCAGCTCAAAATGGAAGATGAAATGGAATCAGACATCTCATCTGATATCCCATAATAACCCTCTGAATAATAATGATCAACATTGAATAACACTAGACAAATTAATCAGTCAAGCTCAGAATAAATCACAATCTCAAACTAAAAGTCGTAAATGACCAAAACACATCAGTGATGTCTACACGGACTCAGACCTCCACAAAACTCCCAACCAATACATGCATGTACATGTATGTCACTTTACCCAGAGCCAAAATACCAAGAGGCAACCTACATGTACCTGTACACTAGTCATCATCAATTCCCCAGACGTCAAACTTGCTAAAGTTAATCCGATCAGAAATAGCCAAAGGTCCGAATAGTCTTATTGGTAATTTTGTGAGAAGTGTTTCTGAGAATGACCAAGGGGGTATTACTGCTAGATGTCATACTCGGGCTCAGGCAAGAAGTCTTAAAGGCATGTGGCAACATGACCAATGGGCCTTAACTACCAAATTTGCTAAATCAAAAAACCCAAAGCAAGGCAGTTGTCACTGGAATCCCAACGGAATTCTAGAAGCCTGCAAGAAACTCCTTCCCCGCATTAAGTGTGGGTCGGGTCTACTAGAAAATACATGTAACTACCCAAACAGTCACTACATACAGTAATACGGAAATTTCCTGGGCGTATTATTCATTCGCTGAAAAGATCTGATCACCCGTGGTGCACACTGACCTCCCACAATACAGAGCGGTCTTGCCGCCATGATCGTCCTTCTTTTCGAAAGCAACTCAAAAGGTCAGAGCCAGAGTGGGGAGGATGGGTGGGAGAGGACTGTTAAGGTAGGTATTCTCTAGTAGACCCGACCCACACTTAATGTGGGGAAGGAGTCCACAGCGCTCTACCTACCCAAACAGTCACTCCACATGCAGAGTAGCACCGGTCTAGGTGGGGGGTTGGTTGTTACATATAAACAAGGAGGAATGTATAACTTTAAGAAATGGTAATGGAACTTCATAATGACTTGTCGTCCATCCTACAGGAGGTCCCTTTGACCTCTGTACTGCGAACAGCAGGATTGTCCCGCCTTTTGCGATGTTAGTATGCAGGACATCCCTAAAGTTACAGGAGGTAGAAGGAGACTTCCAACATACAGTTTTGCAGATGTCTGCAATGGAAAAATCTCCAGAGTAAGACCAAGATGAAGATCCTACTTTTATGACATGAACCATGATGTAGTAATGACTATGTTCATCAGAGCTTAATGGCCAGATGGTCGAAGCCGTCCAGCAGGCAATAGTGTACTGACACCATGGGACGGTGTGGTCTCATGAAAGTGATAAGCGATGGGGTTAATATTGTCCCTCTGGGGGTAACCATTTTCAGAAGAAAGGGCAACCTGACACGGGTGTGCATAAGGCAGGTATTACTTAGGGTTCAAAGGAAGGACTGGAATGCAT